AAATATAAAATGGAAGGTAATTTCTTATTCTATTCCATAATTTCTTTTTCTTTTTCTATTTCCTGCATTGTGATGAGTTTTTTTGTTCGCTTTAAAGTGTCATATTTCATTATGAGTATGCTCAGACTGATATTTTTAATAATTGTAGTTCACTAATAGTTATAGATTCTGGAAACACCTTATTTGCATGTGTATTGAGTCACAACCCTCTAAAAATGAAATATCAGTTCCATTACAACATTGTTGCTAAATTTTAGTTAGCATTAAACTGTCATATCTATTTTGTTATAAGTTCGTTCGAGCTTTTTAAAAAAAATTGTAGTTCACTGTTTGGCAATAGTTAGACTCCAAAACACCTTATTTTTGTATGTATTGAGTCACTTACATGAGTTACAACCCTTCAGAAATGATATATCAAATTTTTTTTGATAAATCATTCATTTGTACAAGATGTGGTAACCCATTTAGTGAAGATTTTGTCACTTGTCAAGCAATGGTCTCTTTTCTTGAGAATTTCATGGTCAAAATAAAATTGGTGTCGACGACTTCAAACCGCTGGCAAATCGGTTTTTTGGAGAAGTATGTCGCGTTTACAAGCATATGCATGTATGGTTGAAAAACAAACAATTTTATTCAATTGGGAAAGATATAATAGAAAATTATAAGAAGTATTGGGGCGATTTTGAAAATTAAACGACTACATGTACTTTGCGACTCTTGGATTTGCAAATGAAGACATAATTTCTTACATGCTTTTGAAACATTGATCAAGTACAAGATGCCAGAAAATAATCCCCTTTAGGAATTAGATATCACTGCAAATGATAAGTCTTTAATAAAGGATATTGAAAAGAGGTTTGAGAACTATTTTAATGAGTACAATACCGACTCTAACATACCATGAAACTGGTGGTAGTCAAGATGTCGTGCATACTGATGACGATGACGACTTTTTGGGTGGCTATTTTGTTATCGACGAACCCATCAGCTTCAAAGGAAACAGAGTTAACACTATAATTAAACGAAGGATAAACACAAGGTGTTAAAGACTTTGATATACTAGTTTGGTGGAAAAATAACGCATCCCATTACCCAATTCTCTCGCGGATGGCAAAAGGTATAATTTTAATTACTTATAGTTTTTATTATAAGGTAGCATAATTTAACATTATATGTTTATGTTATTAGATCTTTTGTGCATTCAAATATCTATCGTGACATTTGAGTCCGCATTTAGTACCAGCGTCTGCATAATTGATACTTACCGAGCAAACTTGTCTGCACCTATAATAGAGGCCTTGGTTTGCACACAGTATTAGGGAAGGAAATAAAGGAAGCCGATTGTTGACCATGTTGAATATTTTTTTAAAGATGATGACATCGCTAAAAGTAACAAACTAATTCATTTTATTATCTAATAACAAAACGTTGGTTATATACTCACTTTCACATTAATTTGTTCCGGTATATATTAGAGTTTGAAGACACGATACACACCCAAAATGGAAATGGAAAAGGGCCGACAGATATTAATGAAAAGAAAGTCTTTATTTCACTTCATATGAAAGTATTTCGTTCTTCAAGATGTTTACGTAAGAATGTATGTAAAACTCGCAAACTATACCCATTATAGTTTTTCCGAAAGTGTGTTCCAATTTGTGATAATAACTCGATGAAATACTAACTTTTTACGTAAGGTAAAAGTGTTGATATCGAATGATAATAATATAGAAGTTGTATTTGAATCAATATAAAACGATACGTTTTCTTGTATTGTACTTGTATCCCTCCCTAAAACATGAAAAGACTTGAAAAGTAGGGGTATGAACTCACTTGTTTGGTTTGAAGAGAGTGATTTCGTCTATCTTTTTACCATCTTACTCCCGTTGTGGAGACCTTCGATTATCGTTTATGTTGTGTTAACTAAAAATCGTCCGATCTTTAATTCGAGTTTTTAGCTCTCTACTACTGTTACGAAACTTAGAAAATTCGTAACTTCTTCATACGAGGTCCAATATGAGCGATCTTTTTATGCACGTTCACTGTTTAATGTAATCTACGACTATTGCTTAGATACTTAAGGCTAAAATGCATTTTATTGGAATTTCACTTTTTACGTTTAATAATGTTTTACCGGATGTGTCGTGAATATTTAAGTGGTCATAATTTCTTCATTATAACCCGGTTTTGAACGTTCTTTATATTTTTGGAAACCTTGGCACGATATCTAAGATTTTATGCATTCCAAATTTAGATTTTTGAGGTTAATTTCGTTGATTCCAAATAGTTTCGTTGTATTTGCCTTTGAGTGTTACATTGCTTTTGGAAAAATATAGGGTTGTCACATTCCCCGGTGCTCCGCAAGTCCTGAAATCTTGTCCACGTTTGTTATCCACCTCCCTAGGTGAGATCCCACCTCCAGAAGTCCCTGAAATATCACAAAAGTGTGCGAGTGAAATAATATCATGGAAAATCTCGAAAAACATGTAAAATGCATGAGATTAAGCCTAGATGCAATGAAATTTTATGAAATAAAACTACAAAGTGTGTGCATGAGATGCACCTAACAAACCCCTACGCTCGTTCTCGTCGTTTCAAATCCAACCAATCTTCTCAACTATTTCCAAACTCAAAATTACTTAAGTCGATCCTTCCTCTTGTCTCTAGGGATTCACAAATTCCTACTTTGTCTAGTCATGGAAAACTAGGCTCCAACTCAAGAAACTTAAGTAAGAAAATAATTATCATTATTTTAATCTACTATGTAAATGCTATTCTTTTAATGTGTTATTGTGTTATGTTAATCTTTGAATGTTTTACGCTGATGGATAAAAGTACATTGTTATTCTATTATTCGGGTTATAGAATCCTAATACGATTTATTCGGGGTTTTTTTCCCGGTTATATTAGGTCGTTAATCATATTGTACATGTTATTCGGGTAATAACCGAACCGAACCAGTTAATACCCGAACCAAACCGAACCTATATTGGTTAATCAGTTCGGTTTTCGGTTCATGCAATTACACTTATTCGGTTTTCGGTTTATTTAGGGTTGGGTCGGTTCGGTCCGGTTCCGACCCGAGTAACATCCCTGGTTGAATGATGTATTTATTATGCAATAATCTAAACCATCTAAAACACAATAGAGAGTGTACCTAGTCGTGTAATAGTATAATAAATGTAAGAAAATGTGTCGAACACAAGGGAAATGAGTATGATTTTAACTAAAAAAATGCTGCTATTAATTAAACTAATAAAAATATTGTAAAGGGGGGGGGTTATCTAGTTTTGCAAATTTAGAAAACTTAAATTATCAACTAACAATTAAATAAATAAATCCATAAAAGTCAAAATCAAAGCATAGTATCAAGTTTCATCTATGCTATACGAAAAGCTAAAAGGTATTAGCCATAACTAAATCAGAAAACAAGTAAACATTGAGTAAACTAGATTAGACATGTTAAATCAAGCAAATCGAAAGCTAAAGGGTATTAGCCATAACTAAATTAAGTACCAATTATATTAATAAATAACAAAAATGTAGCTAAATGTACTTAAATATTGCACAATATATATGACTAAATATAACAATATCACTTCACTAGGAACCAAGGAGCTTGCTTCTTTTCAAGAACCACCAAAAGCACAAAACTTCAAGGAAACAATACAATAAATGCTAGGGTTTTCTAAAATAAGGAGTCTCGAAGACTATCAAATGGGGAAACCCTAGAAGTTAGTGTCATTATATAAGGCTCAAGGCCCAAAAATTATGGTTTTAGGTAATTGTGGCAACTCGGCTTGACCCTTACTTGGTCATGTTGCAACTTATGACATGACACGCACCACATCTCATGTTAAACACGCTGCATACTACGGTTTTTCCCCAAAGCCTCAAACCCATCTTCCTTAATATTATCAACCAAGTAAAAACAAAAAACAAACGTTACAAAATTGAACCACAAAGATGAATCGACAACAAAATCTTTCCAATAACCCAATCCATGATTTTATTATATAAGCATGATAACTTATTCTTATTATTTTTTATGAAAAGTGAAACTGATATGTTATAGAATTTTTTTTTCTAACAAAAATGGTTATATTGCCTAATTTTGTGAATTGTATTTATGGTGGCACGACCGTGTATGTTAATATAGTGATATGGCAAGAGGCAGTCTCACTTATTATTCTAGCAAATAAGTGATGTGACAAATATCCAATGCTAGCAAGACCATCTCAAACATATCAAAACAATATTTCTGAACACGAAAACCATATCGTCCTCTTCTCGAGTTTTAAAAATAAGAATATGAAAAGAAATTAAAGAGAAGTGAAAAATGATATGTTTTATAGTTTTGTAATTGGTTAATAGATAAAAAAAAATTAACATATTTTAATATGCAAGATAATGTCCAAAATAACCAACAACATGTTTTAATAAATAAAAACAATGTTCCAAAACAATCACAAAGATGTTTTAATCAATATATAACACAATGTTAAAAAAAAAACATGTTTTAAAACAATCAAACACATGTTTTAATCAACACAGGCCAAAAACAATCAGTAAGTTTTAACTTTTATTCTTGTGTTTCCATCGTTTTATCTAAGATATTCATCTGTACGAAGATAATCAAATATGTCTTGTGCTTTTTTCCCGAGGTCTCCAAACAAAAAAGTTACATATTTGACAAGTCATAAGACCTTATTCCCATAAATACAATATTAGTGAGAAAGTTTTCCAATATTGTATAAAAAGAAAATAACAAGTATTAATGAAATAAATAAGAAATGAAAGAAACAAACTAACGTCCATTTGATTCAAAACAAACTGAAACTACAAAGATGGAATTGACAACAAAATCTTTTAGGAACCAATCCACGATTTTCGTTTGAACATCATAACTTACTCTTAATATTATTTAGGAAAAGCGAATAATATCGATATCGATATATAATAATAATAATTTTTTTTTCTGCCAAAAATTTATTCAAAGGCCCAAATTGGTGATTTGGGTTACGTCTACGGTGTCACTGACGGCGTAAGCAAACGTGGTGATATGGCAAGAGGGAGCCCGAGGACTCACCCAGTCATTATGGTAGCAAATCAGTGACGTGGCAAATATTCGATGCCAGCGAGGCCATCTCGAACGTATCGAAACCACGAATCTTCTCCCTTCACGAATCACAAAAAACCCTACCTGTCGCACTCCCTTGATCCTTTTTCATCGAATCTGTAACTCCTTCAAAGGAGCTTGAAATCGGCACCAGAGATCCATGGAGAGGATCGTCGGAGATAAGTACAAGTTAGGTCGCAAAATTGGAAGCGGATCATTCGGTGAAATCTTTCTCGGTCTCTCCCTTTTCCATCTCAAATCTTAGTCTAGAAACGAGACTTCATTTATGTTCATGTTTTGTACTGCTTCTCACCACTTCAAATTTGTGTTTTCAGCTACGCATGTGGATACACATGAAATTGTTGCTGTAAAAATGGTAAGATTCAGTTTTAGATTTGAAGTATGCGTTCATCCGTGTTTGTTTTGATTGTTCAAAGTTTTTCTATTAGTGTATGCTTTTTCCGATTTGTAGCGAGTTATGTATGTAGTTTTCTATTTTTGTGAAACGGGTTTAATGAATCAACTAGAACCGATCCGATTTCGGTATGGGTAGACCGCAAACAAGGATGGATGAATAAATACCTTTGTCTGATCTCTAATGGAAGAGTATACTGCTCGATTTCTGGATGATATGGATCTACTTTGTTTGATAGAGAAGAAGCTCACTTTGCACACAGTGGATTTCTCATTTGTGTGGCTAGAATGCTATACTTGAGTGGTTTCATCATTCATGGTTTGTAATGATTTTGGCACACCCTTTCATCATTCTAGCTTTTGGGGAGATCTAACAATTGGTATTATAGCCATGTGATACTTCGATTACTAACCAAACAGAAAAGGCTACTGACACTGAGGAGTTGAACTGAACTTTTGTTGGTATATATGCGATAGTGTGATGAAGAGGGTAAAAGACAATAGGATGTGTTGTCTAGTATTGCTGATATAAAAGCCACCATGCACATCTTTTCTATGGAAGCGTGATGGCATGTCATTCAGAAACTACATTTCTGCACAGTATGGCATCATGTGGAATAGTGTCGCTTTCAAATTTCATTGTGGTTCTCTCATTCTTTGTCACTTGATATCTGCTAGTAGGTGGATAAGATCCATACATAGTGAAGATGCCTTTGTGATTTAAACTTGTATCAATAAACCTAATATGCTCAATAGCCCACATATATTCTTCTTCATACTTTTCAAAAATATTTGCTAATCAGCATTTAGCTAATGAGCAATCAAATTTTACTAGGAAAATAGGCAAACCAAGCACCCACAATTGCTTTATGAAGCCAAGCTATACAATTATCTCCAGGGAATAGGTAAGTTAATTCAACATTTGCTTTGCTGAAGCACAAATACTTATATTCAACATGTTCTCCAATTCTAATTCTTACTTTCATATCCTACAGTTGGAATTGCTAGCATCCATTGGTCTGGGGTTGATGTTGAGGACAATGTGCTTGTTCTTGACCTTCTTGGGCCTAGTCTTGAGGATCTATTTGTTTATTGTGGAAGAAAATTCTCATTGAAAACAGTTTTAATGTTAGCTGATCAAATGGTAAAATCTTTAAACATATGCTTTAATTGCCTTTCATCCATAACTTTCGGATAACAAATAGTCTACACCAGTCATTGCAGTTCTAAATTTTAGTTTTCTATATTCTTTTTACAGCTTACAAGAATAGAACTGATGCATGCTAAAGGATTTCTGCATAGAGACTTGAAACCAGATAATTTTCTCATGGGTCTAGGCAGGAAAGCAAATCAGGTAATTTCAACTGTCATTATATATATATATATATATATATATATATATATATAATATATATATATATCCTAAATACAACATCTTTTTTTGGGTTTTCTAAATTTCAGAATAAAGTATAAACCTTTTATAGAGTGAATATTATGATGTATGCTTATAGACTATCTACTAACTTCACCAATTGTTTTTATCAGGTCTATGTTATTGACTTTGGACTTGCTAAAAGATACCGTGATCCCACCACAAGTTGCCATATTCCTTACAAGTAATGATTGTCTTTTATTATTATTGTCTTCATATCCTTAAATTTGTAATTTTTATTATATTTTATTGGTTC